GCATTCAGCATCTTAAATGCTTAAATCTTTGATGTCATGGACGATGATGTGCCGTATACTTTAGCATGCATTCATCACCTGTGTCAACATGAAACTACCTTTCTTACTCATGTTCCTGTCTTTGTTCTGCAGGGGACTCCAGAGTTTGTGACCGTGTCTCAGTGCGTGCATTACTTTGAGTGGAAGACCTACGCTGCCTGCAAGAAAGACAAATTCAAGCCACATAAAGAGGTGCGGTGGAGCATTTGATGGGGTTGCTGACTCATTCAACTTCTACATTTATAAGAAAGAAGGAATGATATCTTCACTGCGATTAAACACAATGAGCTGAAGAGGAAATGGAAAGCTGTATAACCATATTCCATCACTGCAAAGATGTTTACAGCATTTATCTGTGCAGAAAATGGGTCACATGTTGTGACAGTGATCCTGTTAATGTGGAAACATTTGAAAAAATGTGTGAAATGAATTTGTTCATGAAAATGTGCAAAGTTTGTGGTAACACAACAGTAAAACTGTTGGGGGGGGCTTTTTTGTGAATGCAGCATAAAGTGGTGCACGAATACATCTGTATTGTAGAGTTAATCCAGCTCTTCTTTGCCCAGGTGCCCTGCTACGTGTTTGACTCTGATGGGAGGAAGCATGACCTCAGTCCTCTGATAAAACTGAAAGATGGCTATCTAGTGGACGATGGCGAAGACAGCATAGACTTCTACATCAACATCTGCCGCAGTCTCAGTGAGTACTTGAAGGAAAGAAAGTGATTGGATTCTGTAATAATGATGGTTTTTTTGTTTTGTTTTGAGGAACACTGCATTGACAAAGTGTGCACAGAGCAGAAAGGGAGCCTGTTTAAAGGCCCTTCTTCTTTGTTTTCATGTATTCCCTAAATCTAGGTCCAATCCTTGAAGGTCTATAGATGGTCATTACTATAATGCGGCACAATAAAATATTGCATAGCATCACCACATTGTATGTTAAACAAAGCAATTACTGGAAAGCAATAGAAATGGAAGCAATAGTGATGCTTTTGCAAATTAAAATTTTCAATTTAAATGTAAAATTAAAAAAAATCAAGGTGTTAAAATTAAATATATAATTACTTGTAGTTTTTCATGTTTCTGTCATTTCATTTACATGGATTCCAGATTCCACTATTTACATGGTTTTAGCTCTGTGTTTGGCTTTGAGGGCTTGAAAAGAAGGCAGCTGGACAAAACTTCTGGTGTTAATAAGATGTTTTTTCTCTCATTAAGAACCCGGTTCAGTTCTAAGACGACTGATGGAGACTGCCGGGTATTTAACCACTAATGGGGGAGGGCTGTCCCCTTGATTGTCTTGAAGGTGGTTAACCCACTATGAGTTGTCAAATAAGCTAAGGTGTGCAAAGGCATAGGTGACTATCCTCACTGGGGCCAGAGTTCTATTGAAGAGATGATTCTAAGTCTCTCACTGATGAATTTAAAAACTGACATTGACAGAATTGACAGTGCTAAACAGGCCAATCACAATGCATCCTACTGAGTGGTTGCTTGAGTTCTGTTGTGTAAAAGTTGCAGTACTGCTCACTGCATTGCGTAGCACACACTGTGTTGCCAAATTTTCCACGACATAGTCACTGTTTTTACGTTTATGCTGTTTGGTGCAGAGCAGATGGTGTAAAATACTCTTTTGAGGCTTTTTTCTTTTTTCCCAATGAGATCAAGCTGTTTGCTTCAGTCAAAAAACAAAACACTAACACATTGGTGAGGGTGAACCAAAGAATTGTGTTCACCAAATGACACCAGAAGTGATGTGAAAAAATGTTGCTCGGAGGAACACCAAGCTCAGTGCTGTTTAACACCCGTGAAGCAGCTGTAAACAAAGGGGCAGGAACTTGTGACTGTTGTTTACATGCTGTCCTGCATATCGTCATCACACCGAATTGGTTTTCTAACAAGAAGAAATTTAAGAATCTTTTTTTTTTTTTTTTAATCTCATGTTCTCCTCAATCGTCTCTCAGACCTACCAGACAAAGGCTGTACAGAGGGCTCTGCAGCCTGCCTCATCACCCATGATGGCTCATACAACATGGGTTTTCCTACCCAGCAGCTAGAGCTAATGACTGATGACAGGTACTTTCTTCATGTTTGTTTACTTCCTGTTCAGTGTAAAAGTTATGACAGTGAAGTTTCCAGGTATGGCTCTCCTGAAGCTTGTTTTTGGAGCTGTCTTCTAAGTCTGGTGCTTCAGGTTTAGAGTTGAAACTTGAAGTTAAATTATAATCTTGGCGCTAAGAGGCAGTATATGCAGGAATAAAAGATTATCAGAAGGTCAAGAATGTGCAGATGTGCTATAGTCATGTTTTTAAATATATGTATGTGTTGACATAACCTTTGGTAAGTTTGAACACAGGTTAAGTCAGCACCGACTGGTTATATGAAAAAAATAAACATGAAAAGAAGACCTTTTCTTAGTAGTTTTTCATACTTCTTGCACTTTTTCCTCTCCAGCTTGAGTTTACAGTATTCTTTAAGTGACGACTCGAATCCTCCAGCAATCTGTGGATCAAGCAAACCAGCAGTCAACATCACCTTCAGATGCCCATCAAGCAGGCATTTGGTAGGTTACGCTGCAGTCTTCATGATGAATTGTTTGTTTCACTGCTTAAAATGTATTCATACTCATTGTTATTGTTATTATTGTTGTTGTTTTTTTGGGAGGGGGGGTGTTTTGTTTTTGTTTTTTTGCACAGCTAGCAGAATGAACTTTAACCCCTAACTTTACTTAATTTTCACATTCACAGGGCAACACTCCTACGATGATAGCTAAGCCAAACTGCCATTACGAGGTGGAGTGGGTCACTGAATACGCTTGTCACAGAGACTATCTGGAGAGCCATACCTGCAAACTGACCAGCGAACAGCACGACATCTCCATAGACCTAACTCCTCTCACTTTAGCCTGTAAGTTTTTGTTCCTCTAAAACATCTTAAACAGCTTAAACAACCTTTTATAAGTTATTCCTTATAGTTGTATGAAGAATGAAATGTCAATGGGGGGAACCATTAAAATCAAATGAAAATAAAAATAAAGTAGTAGTAAACCACACTCAGCTGATGTCACGTTAACCTGACGAGTTATTAGCTTTACAAATGCTGCCATGTGACAAATACATCCTTGTTCCTCAAACTGGTTTCTACAATTAGAAAAATAAGGTTGTAACTATCAAAGGACTGCTAGTAAAAACAAAACTGTCAGTTGGCTTAAGGCAGCTGTTCTTTATATAAATAAAACTGAATTAAATTGAAGAAGTGTAGTGTAAAAGCAAAATAAAGCTCAAACATTGTATTTATTTTTTTGGCAGTTACACAAAACTTGTTTTACATATTTAACTGTCTCATGTTGCTGCTTTTTTTAGGCCCATTTAGAGGAAGTGACTTTATGACTAAATGGTGTATGAACCTCCTGGTTTTGTTAGAAATGTGAAAGGTTTTTCCACTCACTGCCACAGTCCATTTGAAGTCTGTGTGCCACAATGCAGTCCGCAGTTTGGGACAAAAGGATAGTTTCAAGTGAAAAACTTAAGGAAAAATATGTTTTCTCATGTTTGTTTTTGTATCTCTGCCTGCTTCATTTTTTGGTGTGACTGTATAAACATTGTTCTTGTTCTTTAAATTGATAAACTGCTTATTTCAAATCGGAGCTGATGGCCATCAGTGATTTTCTTTGTTTTCCCCCCTTTTTTTATGGATAAGATAAAAAGACATCACATTTTCTGTTGTACACTGCTCAAAAAATTAAAGGAAGCCTTTTAAATGTCTGGAATATTGACCTACTCAAATAAGTATCAGAGGCAATGTTCCCTCTAAGCTGCGCACGCGCACTGCTGGCACGGTCTCTGCGCACAGAGAAAATCTGCGTTGCGCACAAAAAAAAAAACTAACCTGAATTGAAATTAAAATTAATACTTCAACAATCATGTTTTGCAGTGTTAGTCAGTAAGTGACTGGCTGCTCCCATATGGGATTAGAACGATGCCACCTTATCCCATAGT